TCAGCACAGAGCCTGATGCAGGGCTCGATCTCACGAACCACGAGATCATGACCTGAGCCAAAACCAAGAGTCGGACGCGTAACCAACCGAGCCACCCAGGTGCCCCTTCACCAGTTTTTTAAATAAGTCCATGTTGGGGTCTCAAACAATAGCCCAAGGGGACAGGTCTGACTTACAAATGGGTTTTGCTTGACCTATAGTGTTCTGTTTTTAAGAAATACTGAATTTTAATGCACTGGGCAAAGCGGGTTTTATTCCCTTCACCAGTTGCCACTTGCCCTGTCGCGATGCTCCTGGCTCTTCCCACACTTACGTTACCCGCCAGACCCCCGAAGGCATCTGAGTCTGGAAGCCCTGCTCTAGCTCAACAACCCCGTTTTGTGAAAGGGGGAATGGGAGGTGGGGGCTCCTGGGTTAATGGAATCCTAGAAGCCCTGCTCTAGCTCAACAACCCCGTTTTGTGAAAGGGGGGATGGGAGGTGGGGGCTCCTGGGTTAACGGAATCCTAGAAGCCCTGCTCTAGCTCAACAACCCCGTTTTGTGAAAGGGGGGATGGGAGGTGGGGGCTCCTGGGTTAATGGAATCCTAGGTTGCCCGAGGCTGGAAGAGCCCTGAAGGTCCCTGAGGGTCTCCTCTTCAGGTCTCTGCTCCAATATCCTTTCTCCAGCGAGCTCTTCCCTGATCAGCCTACTCAAACAGCACCCCTCCTCCTCTGCCCCTCTACCCTGCTTCACTGTGTCTCATTTCCTGACCCAATGAGATCATTCAGCTCCCCCACCCCTGCTCCTCCCAAATTTGACCAATCAAGCCTGAAATCCCAAGTTCAAATAGACCACAGCATAGGTGAACAGGATGTGCCTTTTGCGGGTTGTGGGCAGGGCAGGAGCCCGGGCAGGTCATGGTGTCTTAAAGGAAAGGAGGGAAGGAGGCAACGGGCAACGAGCCGAAGGTGGGCAGGGAAGCCAAGAGCAGGAAACTCCTCTTATATTTTCTTTTTTTTTTTTTTAATTTTTTTTTCAACATTTATTTATTTTTGGGACAGAGAGAGACAGAGCATGAACGGGGGAGGGGCAGAGAGAGAGGGAGACACAGAATCGGAAACAGGCTCCAGGCTCCGAGCCATCCGCCCAGAGCCCGACGCGGGGCTCGAACTCACGGACCGCGAGATCGTGACCTGGCTGAAGTCGGACGCTTAACCGACTGCGCCACCCAGGCGCCCCTCCTCTTATATTTTCTTAAAGAGAGACTTCATTTTTTTTTTTAAGTAGGCTCCACGCCCAATGTGGGGCCAGAACTCATGATCCTAAGATCAAGTGTCAGATGACCTACTAACTGAGCCACCCAGGCACCCAAGAGAGACTTCATTTTTTTCCAATAGTAAAAATATTTGCTAACCAAAACTTTCAAATAATACACAGAAGCATAAGGAAGAAGGTAAAAAAAAAACACCCCAAATCAGAGATATTCTGTCTCCCAGGGACCCAGTCAACAGTTAAAAGCCAACCCAGGGTCAGATGGCGTGGGCTCGAATCTTGGCTCTGCCTCTTTCTAGGTTCAGACCTTGAGAAGGTCCCTTAACTTTTCTGTGCCTCGGTTTCTTCATCTGTAAAATGGGAATGCACTGATGTTCCTCTCAGTCTCTCTGCCACCTCTCTTCTATTCCCTCCCTCTTTCCTCTGGCTGTGAGAACATTTCCTTTAAGACACCCTGACCTGCCCGGGCTCCTGCCCTGCCCACAACCTGCAAAAGGCACATCCTGTACACCCATGCTGTGGTCCATTTGAACTTGGGATTCTCAGCTTAGTTGGTGCCTGCCACCTAATATTATTGTGAGCATTAGGTGAGTGAATACATGGAAGGGGCTGAGAACAGTGCCTGGTACATGGTGAGTGCCAAGCAGGTGTTTGCTAGCATCTCCTTATCACTGTCACCATGATCATTGTCATTTTTGCAAATAGCTCCTTATGCAACAACCTGCCTTCTTCCCTTCCTCTCTCTTTCCCATCCATCTGTTCATCCATCCATCCATCCGTCCATCCATCCATCCACTCATCCATCCATCCATCCATCCACTCATCTACTCATCCATCCATCCATCCATCCGTCCATCCGTCCATCCACTCACCCATCCATCCATCTGTCCATACATCCATCTGTCCATCCGTCCATCCATCTATCCATCCACTCATCTACTCATCCATCCATCATCCATCCATCCATGCATCCATCCATCCACTCACCCATCCATACATCCATCCATCCATCCATCCATCCATCCACTCATCCATCCATCCGTCCATCCGTCCATCCACTCATCCATCCATCCATCCACTCATCCATCCATCCGTCCATCCACTCATCCATCCATCCATCCAT